TTTTTTTTTTTTAGTGTTCTGTCTGACGACAGGTCCATATGAACATGATCCTTCCATCCTTTTCTCGGACTGGGCCCTGTTCATATACGTTCTTGGCAGATGATCCAGAAGTGGTTTGCCATTGCCTTCTTCTGTGTGTGAATGGAGTAATTGTTGGGATGCCACGGAGGATATCAGGATATCGAAACAATAATGTTAACAGTTGTTTTGTCTGGGCGTAAAATACCTCTTACTTCTAAGGAAGACAACAAATTAGTGTTTAAAAACAACGAGCATCTGAAAAGGAAACTGGCCCTTCGAGGGAATAAGTAAAAGAACATTTCAGGTTGTCACGTGACGGAGAACTCGCTCGGTATGTGGCGTCACGCGCCAACTCACACTTACTGATTGTTGCACTGAAACATCAGTCCAGCCACTTAATTTTCAGACCCTCTACTCGCTGACAAAAAGTCAGCATGACAGAATTTGCATACTCATCTATACGGAGGAAGGCAAACGTAAGACTATACCCACTTTCTTACATCCTTTCTCTGATTACTGTAGAGGATACTAATGGTGTCACATTTAGGAGCACAACACCAAGCTGTTGCATCAGTATCGCCAACATATGGCGTTCTTTCGTAGACAGATACATTCACAAAGGAACGGCTTCTTAAGCTGAAAATCTACCTCAAATATATCTAAAACAATACAATTTCTTTGTAAAAATTACCAATATTTCATGTCATAACGTAACATAAGTTGGGGGCAAGTTTCATTTCAGATTTTCAATTGTTTATTTCGCTGCATATTTAGCGAAGAATCCGTTCTGTCTTTCTGCAGAGATCGTGTCGCCATCTGCCAATGGCCCTACGAACTACATGTTCTGGCACGTGATATGCCATTAGTGGACACAAATGTTTCACAATTTCTTGTATTGTTTAAAACGAAAGTCACGGACGCTCAAAACCGTGAGGTGGGAGAATGATCCACCGCCATTATTCACGATCGTCTGTGTACAATCTGAAAATTAGATGTGAATATAAACATAAAGAATCTCCGATGTGTTTTGTTACGTAATTGCTGTCAGTTATTGATTTCGCCCATTTGTTTCACGTATTCTCGAACAGCTGCGGTCATTCTAAGAGAATTCTGAGACCATTGCCTTAAAATTTAACACTTATCACTCCTTTCAAGACAATTCCTGATTCAGTATCATCGTTCTCGAATCTCATTCGATGAAATAACTCAAAAGCTGTAAGAGCCTCATTGAACACTCGGATCGTGTCGCACCTCGTATTCTGTTGTAAAATTAATGACTTCACAACAGAATGGAGAAAGTTACATTGTGACTATCTTCATGCCTTGTTTTCCTTACCTAGTAGCCTACTGTATTGTTAATGGACCGGACATACATTTAGCATACACGAGGAAACAAATATTCTCCATATTCGGCTAAGATCGTGATGGAATGTTACGGAAAAGTGATGCTAGAACGATAAATGGATGGAAAGGCTTTCTTTGCGACTTCGATGAACCTCAAGACTCCATACCATGAAATTTCTTAAACAACTGAGCATCTTACTTCGTAGAGAAGCTCGTAGTCGCTCAGCTGTTGAATAAATTCCTGGTCTCAGATTATTTCTTGAAGATACATTTTAATATTATCCTCCCATCTACTGAATAACTGCTCAGGGAAAATAATTTTATCATTGGAGTTATATGTAGGCTTTTTATAAAATAAAAACGTAGAAATTCTTGTTGGGAGGCCTAACTGCAGTTCATTCTGTGTCCACTGTATCACGAATTCAGCATGAAGTAAACGCCTAAACCTAATCTGTACGTTGGTACCAAAAAACTAGCCAAACTTTTAAATATTCTCTAAACTGGTAAAGACTGGCGCCTGCAAAATCTTTAAATCATAAGGGAGATTTGCTACAGAGGCCATCTTGGAATTATTTTGTAGGTTATGAAAATGCTTTCAGACAATTACGATAGTGTTCGTACGAACAGTGCAAAGACGTAACACGTTGATTATCAGTCCAGTGCATGTTAAGAGAAAGTGACGATATGCAAACAGAAAATACGACAATAAAATCATTTGTTTAGAAGGTGAAGTCCCCGTCATTAGTCTCAAAATGTCATTACCCACGCGTAAACAGCGATGTCATTGCTGGCATCACTTATCTGCTTTCATATTTGGCTGCATAATTATCCTTCAATGATTCTATTCCGAATGTCTTTAGTTCCGTGATGTTATTCGTTGATTTAATAAAATTACTATTTTATCTACCTCGTTTGAAAATTAGATTACTATCGCGTTTTCTATTAACAGTGGGAGTGGTAGGTCGTGGCCGAGTTGTTTTCGGGAGGTTCCACGTTGAAATCCCAGCCCTGAGACCCCGAGTGATTTCCTGGGTTTCCTCAGCTCCTCTAAGCAAATGGCGGGGATTGTACCTTGCCGTGGTCACAGGAACCTGCCACAGAACCGTGTAGCTAATTTCTCACAGCAGAATAAATGTGCTTACGTACAGCAATGGAGTTTGTTTTAATTAGTGTCTGATGGGCAGTTGTGTAACGTGCTGTTTAAAATCAGGTAAAAATGATAATTCTACCGTGTCGAAACATTCCCTGGAGAATAGTTTCCATGTAGGAAGTAAGTTTTCCAATTTAAATGTTGCTTACGTAATATCATGACGTACGCCTACGCTGACATCCGAATGTGGGACACGATTAAGCAGTTCCAGAGAGCCATAGAGAAAATGAAATTCACCCACAAATAGGACTAAAGGAAAATAGAATTAAAAATTTTGATAATTACTTGGGGATAAGGCACAATTAAGTTAAATGTGCCTAGTCACTTTTTTTAGCAATTATATCGAAAATTTCGGGCTGCTGTCTGATGATATCGATTTCAGATGAACAACTGTTTACGAGCTCCTGAGGATTCTAAATTTTAAATATGATAAAATACGTGGGTTATCGTCTGCTATTGGCGGGTTTTCAAGCTATTCCCATTGCCTTAATATGAAATACGTTTACGAAGAGATTTGCTAACTTATATAGCACAAACTTCCTTTATAAAATGAGTTGAGGATTCTCTAGGGATTCAAACGTCGCTAAACTTCTACCAGACTAGATGGTGTAACAGCCCAGAAGACTGGGACTTTCA